AACCCAGCTAGTGGGAGTTATACACCAGCAAATCGTGGCCCTGCTAGTGGGGATTATACACTGGCCGTGACCTATAGAGGAGACGTCTATTTCGTTCCCATACTGTATCCGTTTTGCGTGATTGCACATATGGCATGCTATTAGTTTAAATAAGGGGCACTCCATATTTACTTACTGAGTTTATCTCATAGTTTTCCTTGTTCACCATTTCAGGAAATGAAACCGAGGACGGGAAACCACGGGAAGTGACGAGTTAGAAGGCTAGCCATATTGTAATTTGATATGAATTTTAGAAACAAATCATGATCTTGTATTTGGAGATTTTATTGGAGATTTATGATATCAGAGAGATTTTATAATTTGATCTTCAGATTTTGATGATATCAGAGTGTAAATTTGATAAGTTTCGAGTCTTGTGCATTTGTGGGACTCGTCTCACGAGTGCACGGCGTCTGTCACGCCTCGAATTTGGGTTTTGGGGCGTGACAATAACCCAGCCCGACCTGCTCGTTTGCCAAGTCTATGTTCAATCCACCTTCTTTGTCTTGCAGCAGTTGCAGATTATCTTCTCCATTTCACAGCAGCCGAACAGTCCTAAGATCCTCCTTTCTCGTATTAATCACCAGTCTCGTCTCCCATGGGTATTCTCTTAAATAGAGGAATTTTTGGGTGATAGCGAGGCGAATGATTTGGGCCTAATTTCGTGGGTGGGATTCCCTATATCAGACTCTGGTTGATCACCGAAAGTTCTACCATTTAATTTTTTTGGAAAGCATATTCATGTTTTGTTTTGTCATTGGGTACATTTTTGTAAATGATGATTTATTATTGGTTGTTTGTTTGTTGCATATGAAATTAGCTTGAGATCAGTGTTTGATTTCCTTTTGCTATTGGGAGGTTGATCCAATAAGAAAAAAAAGAGAAAAAAAAAAAGAAAAGGAAAAAAAATGAAAAGAGAGAGCTTATAATTTGAACGAGTGGTGACTTTTTTCTTTTCCATTTGTCACACTTAATTTTTCATTAATTTTCACATAATTTTTAAAATTTTTAAGCGGTCATCAAAAAAGCAATAGCTACAGTTAGAGTCCAGCACTTTTAAATTAAGCCAAGTTTATTTTTAGGTTTTTTTGTATATGCTCTTACTTATAGTTATTATTCCTCAGTCAAATCAATTTCATGTTGCAATTTATAGCCAATTCATAATTCATAATATTCTAGTAATTATTATTAAGAAATATGTTTATCTAAAATTATTAAATGTTAATCAAATATTATTATTAAAAATATAATTGAGTTTGGATTTTAAAAAGCCTACTAAGTATTTATTTGATATTTATTGAAAATTTTAAAGGGTTAATTCAATATTTTTTTAGGAAAATGATTGATTCATACTCTATTTGACACATTTTTTGATATATGTATTGATTCAACAATTAAAGTATAATATAAGTACAACAAATTTAGTTGGTTCATACATCCTGTATATATGGTTATATTTTTAAGTTGTTTGTTTGTAATTTAATATTAAAAAATAATAATTGTTTAATAAGTGTATTATATAATGCATTGAATTAAAGTGTCTATCAATTATTGTTCATTTTTTAGTATCTATTGAAGATTTAATAAAAATTTATT